AATTTTGATTTTTATAGATACAATCATACAAAGCTTACAATTTTATGGGAAGGATGAAAACCATTGATTCTTTTTTTAAAGGAAATAATGATGATGAAGAAACTCGTAATGAAAATCAACAAAGTAAACGTCACAAAGCTTCAACATGTGAGCCGCAACCGCAAGAACATGAAAATCAACAAGTGAATGATATTTTTGAAGCTACACAATCAAATCCTAATGAAGTGGATCTTAAAAATTTAGAAAGAGATCGCGCTAAATGAAAACAAATGTGGGAATATCCAGTTAATTTAAGGGAACAAGTAAGACGAGCTTATATGACTTTAGGACCTTTCCAAATACGTCTTCAAGAATATCATGCTAAAGGTTCAAAGAAACATCTTCGTAGATTCCAATATTCTTGGCCAACATTTTCCCTAATCGGTTAGAGTATTCTCCAACAACACATACTTCGTATCCTTTTATTTGTTATATATTTAATGATAAGCCATGTGTGTGCAATGGTTATGATTCATTTACTGTTAAAGGATTTGACAATTGGAAAAAAGTTAATGCTGGGAAAAAGTGTGCATTCTTGAAGCACTTAGGGTTGTTCACCACATAGAGATGTTACATTTGTTGAAAACTTGATGAATCAAGCAACACACATTGAAAATATCATAGTGAAGCAAAAAGAAGCACAAATACCGAAGAATCAATTACGATTAAAAGCTTCAATTGACACGGTTCCTTGGTTGACATTCCAAGCTTGTGCTTTACGATGCCATGATGAAACGCCTAATTCGAAAAATCGAGGTAATTTTCTTCAACTACTAAAACTTCTAGCATCTTATAATGTTGAAGTTGCAAATGTTATATTAGAGAACACTCCTTATAATTCAAAGTATACTTCTGTAGATATTCAAAAAGAAATTCTTAGTATTATTGCAAAGAAAGTTCGGAAACATATTTGTAGTGAAGTCGGGGATTCATACTTTTGTGTCATAGTTGATGAGTCACGAGATGAGTCTAAAAAAGAGAAAATGGCCATAGTTTTGAGATTTGTTGATGCAGAAGGGATCATACGGGAAAGGTTCCTGGATTTGGTTCATGTTAGGGACACCTTATGTAACGACCCAATTTTTCACGTCCGAAAATTTCGTTTAAAAGCATTACTTTAGAAAACATTAATAATTAGAACATTGTTTGATCAAACCACAACACAACGCAAATCATGTTCAAAAGCCAAACCATACAACCCATCAAAATATCAGAATATAAATCCCAGTGAATCTCGTAAATGCGGAAACCAGAGTGTGTGCATGATGTGCCGCTACCGCGCCAGCTCCTTCCCCTTTGGTGAAGAGGTACCTGAACACAAAACTGTAAAACGTAAGCACAAAGCTTAGTGAGTTCCCCCACTAAGCTTTAAAACGTAAGCACAAAGCGCCAGCTCCTTCCCCTTTGGTGAAGAGGTACCGCGCCAGCTCCTTCCCCTTTGTCAGGCATATCTGGGTGCCCGACCTACCCCTTCGGTCCTCTCGACCGGATACTGCCTAGCATATCTGGGTGCTGGCCTCCCCTTTAGTCCTTTTGACCGGATACTGCCTAGCATATCTAGGTGCTGGCCCCCCCTTCGGTCCTTTCAACCGGATACTGCCTAGCATATCTGGGTGCTGGCCTCCCCTTCGGTCCTTTCGACCATATATTGGGGACTATTTCACCCTTACTACTACCACATAACACATATATCACATAGTCTAGCAACCCTAGATGAATATCACAAAGACAATCATCTAATCACACATCTCCTACTGGTGGGCCGGCATTGTGGCCTTAGACCCACCGCTACTGAAAGGTAACTCACCTCAAAGTAGCTGTTGAATTGATCGGAAACTAACTGACTACTATTGCTCCGGAAATCCTCCAGCTGCAATTCCCACAACATACTCAATCAAACACTGCTAACTGTCCTTTGGGTAAAATGACCATTTTACCCCTGGTCTAGCTCTAAGTCAAAGTCAGAGTCAACTTTCAGTTGACCCGACTCGCCGAGTTGGCTCTCCAACTCGTCGAGTCCCTATCAGATGATTGTCCTGAGTCCTTGTTTCTACTCGTCGTGTTAGGCTATGACTCGACGAGTTCATCTTCCAAACTGACATTCAACCTCTTCATCCTACTCGCCGAGTTGTATGAACAACTCGTCGAGTTCATCTTCATCTGAAGAACACTTATGCTAAGACTCGCCAAGTTGTATGAACAACTCGCTGAGTCTGTTCTTGATCTATGAAGATTGCCTTGGACTCGCCGAGTCAGGGCATTGACTCGCCGAGTCCTAACGTGGGTGAGTTCAGCTTCCAACTCACCGAGTCACCCACTGCGACTCACGGCTCAAACTCGATACATCATAAAGGGACCAATTCGGTGACTCGCGACCAGACTCGCCGAGTCACATATACGACTCGCCGAGTCGCCGCCATGCATCCATCAAATACACCGATTTGCTCGATTCCAGTCCATGCCATTCCCAGATCTGGGCTTCTAGGACACAAATCACACGTAAAGTTTCCAACTTTACGTGTAGATATTCACCAATATGGATTTTAGGGCTCAAAGTGCACCAAAAGAGGTAGATCTAGGGCTTTCATGCAATATGACCCCATAAAGGCATTAGATCCAAGCTCCAGGGACTAAATCATGCCTAGATCTAAAGGCTAACAACTTATTACAACCCACAAAGCACAAACAAGCTTGGGGAAAAGCTCAAGAAGGACTTCTATGAAACTAAAAGAGATTACAAGCTTGAAAACAGAGGGGAAACGAGCTATACCTCAAGGAAAACGTTGAGATGACACAAAGATCCCTGGCCTCCTTCTCCTCTTCTTGATCTACTATTCTTTCTCCTCAAAATCTTCAAGAACACACCAAAACACTTCAATCTCTCAAGGAAATAAGGGTATAAACGATGTTGGGAGCTCTGGGGGTGAATGGGGGCGAGTTTGGGGCGGAAATGAGGGTTTAAATAGGGTGCAAACCCTTGAAATTTAGGGTTTCATCCAGCAGCGGTGACTCGCCGAGTCCAGGATATGGACTCGCCGAGTCGCCAACTTAAACGTGTCCTGAGTCTCGTCCCTACTCGGCGAGTCGGACCTATGACTCGCCGAGTCCAAGGCTAAAATGGGGAAATACCCAAATAAGATTTACATACCGGGAACCAGGTGCTACACCTTATCATTAAACTTGAAAACAAATATGTGGACCCAACTTTTGCACTATCAGTTTGATGTTAGTAAAATTTGTGGCCAAGGTTATGATGGTGCTTGTAATGTGAGAGGGGAATGGAATGGATTGCAGGCACTTGTTCTTAAGGATTGTCCTTATGCGTATTATATTCACTGCTTTGCTCAAAGATTACAACTAGCATTGGTGGCTGCTTCAATGGAAATTATTCCTATACACTAATTTTTTACAAACTTAATTTTTTTAATTAATGTAGTTTGTGCTTCTAGTAAACGACATGATGAGTTACAAAAGGCAAAGGCAACTGAGATTGAACATTTATTGGAACTTGGTGAAATCGAATCAAGTAAAGGATTGAATAAAGTTGGGACATTAAGAAGAGCTGGTGATACACGTTGGTGTTCTCATTTTCATTCAATTTGAAGTTTGCTTAACATGTTTGATTGTACTCGGGTTGTTCTCCAGGGAATAATTGATGATGTCTCTACTACTTATTCTCAGTGCGGAGATGCTGATGCAACTTACTGTTTCCTGAAATCATTTGAGTTTGTTTTTATTCTTCACTTGATGAAAGGAGTAATGGGAAAAACTGATATACTTTCTCAAGCTCTACAAAAGAAATCACAAGATATTCTTAATGCCATGGAGTTAGTTTTAGAAACAAAGGAGAGTCTAAATGATTCCAGGAATAATGGATGAGATTCTTTATTTGCACATGTAATGTTATTTTGTGAGAAACATCAAGTAGATATGTCGGATATGAAAGCTCCATATACTTCTACTCGATACCGGCCTCGAAAAACGATAATCATGTTACTTTTGAACATTTTTATCGAGTAGATTTGTTTAAATCTACATTGGACTAACAATTACATGATTTGAATAATAGATTCAATGATCAAGCGATTGAGTTGTTAAGTCTTAGTTCTACTTTAGTTTCAAAAGAACAACCTAAAGTGATTAACATTGATCATATTTGTCTTCTCGTTGAAAAGTATTATCCTAAAGATTTTACGGAGCAAGAGAGAATTCAATTACGATATCAATTGGAGATTTTTAATATCGATATGACAAAGAATCCCAAGCTAAGTAGTGTATCAACTATTGCTGACCTATGCAAGGGTCTTGTAGAAACTCAGAAACGTGAGACATATTATTTGCTTGATAGAGTGGTTGGGTAATCATAACACTTCTAGTTTCTACCGCAACAACAGAGATGGACTTTCCAGTAATGAAAATATTCAAGAACCGCCTTCGCAATAAGATGTCACATGACTTTCTCGCAAACAACTTGGTGGTTTACAAAGAAAGAGAAATTGCTTAAAACATTGATACGAAATCAGTAATTGATGAATTTAAAGACCTTAAAGGTCATCGGGCTGAGTTGTAATTCTTCTTTTGGGTATTTTTGGTGTTTAGTTGCCGAAAAATAATTTGGTTTTTTTTTTTATGTGTAAGAACCGTAATGATAGGTATTTTGGTGTTTAATTGCTGGAAAAAATGGTTATTTTATGTGTAAAAACGTTAAATTTAGTTTTCTACTACCTCCCCCCCCCCCCCCCAAAAAAAAATGAATCGTTCAAGCTCCGCCCCTATTCTGAACCAATATCTTATGAAGTTCCACTAAGCTTTTCAGAACCACGTGTTTCTGAAGATATTGCTACCACTCCATCGGAAAATGTGCCTTCTCCATCTGTTTCTGATGATGATTTTATGGAAGATGATGATCCGAAAATCTCTGGTTCATTTGAAGAATTTGTTGCTCTTGTTTGGAATCTCCTATGATTGATAATGAAATTGATTTTGATGAGGAACATGCAAATAATCCCATGACTAAGAGAGATTACAAGGCGCTGAGCAGAAAGCTTAATCTCTTAGTTCGCCATACTCAAGTTTTCTCTACATCAAAGTTTGACTATATGCAGCAAGCTCACATGGAGTCTGAGAAAGCTCTTTTTGAAACATCTGCGAGCTTGATTTCTGATACAACTGTGAAGGTTGATGCTGCATTTAAGGAAGTCAAACCGGCTACTGCGAAAGTAGATGTTATTTTGAAGGAAGTCATTGAGTCTTTGAACAAGAAGCTAGATGCAATTATAAATGATGTTAAGGAGATTCTCACTTAATTTTCTCTTAAAAAAGAGTCAAGATCTTCATTGTTTACTTCAGAAAATTAAACAATGTTGGTCACCATACTTCGGTATCCAGTTCTATTCTTACTCTAGCTAAGAATTATGAAGGTGAATCAAAGTTGATGGATGTTACTGCTGAGAAGACTCAAAAGGTCAAATTGTTGAAGCAAGAATTGAAAATTGCTCATGCTAATCTTGGGAAGATAGATGATGAACTTTTAATGGCGAAGAGCAGGAATCATGTTTAATCTTTAATTGTGTTTTATATTTTTCTTTGCATCTTTATCATGTGTTGTTAGTTTATCATGGATTCTTCGATCCTAACACATACCCAGTGTTTATTCCTGTTTGTGGGCCAACCATGCATGTTCACATTTAACGTCTCTTTTTTCTAGGTGTCAAATGTCATCAATGAAGGCAGTCTTCCTACACAGCGTCTCTAAACAGAAGTTATGAGTTTTTAGCTCATGATTACAGCAGAAACAAGCACAAAAATGAAATCAATTGGTAAAAACATAGTTCAAACAAGAGATTAGGTAAGAGTAAACTTGATTTTGACTTGATTCTCCTTAAAATTGAATGTAGGGTTTATTCCCTACCTTCCCATGCTCCAACAGCACCTTTAGTCGACAATTGGCCTCCAAGGGTTCATCTATCTGCTAGGGTATCGATCTGAAAGTCCCTTTATATAGATTTTCACAAAACAGGGGATACTCGGCGAGTACCTTGACCTACTCGACGAGTCCATCACTTAAAACCCGTGTACGGCAAGTCAGCGCGTCCAGAATCGCGAAACTTCTGACCAACTCGACGAGTAATCGAGCCTACTCGCCGAGTACGTTTTGATTCAGCATTTTCTCAAAACACTAAAGTCGTCCGAAATTGTGTCTACTTTTCAGAACATTTTCAATCTCGTCAATCAGAGTTACGGTTCATGAGATATGGCCAAAACACTGACGAGGGGTCAAGCTGTCCAGCAACATCCTTCTTTCTTCAAAATCCAAGATCCAAGCTTCCAATCATTAGTTCCACTTCCTTTTCCATACGAGCATGTATTTGTTACTGAAAGTGAAATATTTAAGCTAATTAAGCACCTTTGGTTCATTATATGAGACAACAACAACATAAAGTATTGAGATAATGCATGAATTATATGACTAAATATGCTCGTATCACGTCTACATCTTACTTCCAACATACCACAGACTTATCGTTATTGTTTGAATTCGATGGCCAAAAGAAAATTTCACAAAACCAAGATACAAGTAATAGAGTAGTGTGTGCTTAAAATGAATTTTCTCGTGTTATATACAAAGCAAAATTTAAAATAACCTAACAATAATTAACCAATTGGCTTTCTTCCCTTTGGAAGTTCAACTAAACTCCAAGTTTTGTTCTCTTCAATTGAGATCAATTCTACATTCATCGCTTGTACCCACTCGCTCCTCTTGCTCACTTCAGCGTATGAGACTGGTTCTTCATCATCGTGAATGAGCATCAACCGATCAGTGTTCTCGTATAAATCTGTGAGTAGCCAATAGCGCTTTGGAGAACCACTACCTGTCGAGCTCGAAGCGGTACCAAGGGAGTCGTCTTGCGATACTGGCACATTGGGTGTAATTGGGGAATTAGGAGTCGATGGTGGGTTTGAGTGCAAATCTAGTGGGCTTAATTGTGGGTCCATTAATGGGTTAGTGGGTTGAGACCCACTTGCATTCTAGTCCGTATTTATTTGGGGCATTTGATGTGTGTGATCATCTGGAGTGCAAGGCGTAGACCACATTTCAACTTCATTGACTTCATCGAGGTCAAACCCTGCGATGGTGAAGCTGATCCCTGGAATCCTTTTGATTCTTCTCGTCTCTTCCTATGCCCAAGTCTTAGTTTCTTCAAAAACAACGTTTCTGTTCACATACATCGCACCTGTGTCGGGATCCAACAGCCGATACGCCTTCGTTCCTTTCTCAACTCCAAGATGTACAAGCCTTTTACTTCTATCTTCTAATTTCTTCATATAACTCCTTTCAATTAGCATGCGTGTGGCACACCCAAATACCCTGAGATGTTCTACATGTGGTTTCCTTCCAGTCCACATAACATATGGTGTGGTTTCTTTCAGAGCTTTCGTGTTGACCCTGTTCAGTAGGTACACAACATGGTTCACAGCTTCACCCCATAAAACATCTAGAACATTCATTGACTTCAGGCAGCTTCTTACCATCTCCACAACCGTCCGGTTCCGTCTCTCCACAACTCCATTCTGTTGTGGGGAGTATGGAGAGGTGTAATGGCATGTTAAATCCATCTCACTGCAATATGGTGTGAATTTATTTGAAAGAAATTCACCTCCTTGGTCCGTTCTCAAGACCTTGACTTTCTCACCTATTTCAGTTTCAACTTTTGACCTAAAATTCCTGAAGACTTGAAAGGCTTCTTCTTTCGTCTTCATGAGGTACACCAACATCAGTCTATTGTAATCATCAACAAGAAGCATGAAGTACCTGTTTCCAGCGGGTGTAGGAGGTGAGACTGGTCCACACAAATCATCATGTACTAGCTCCAACCGTTTCTTTGCCCTATAGCTTGCTTGTGAAGGGTAGGAATTTCATGACTACTTTCCTACTAGGCAACCTTCACATGAATGATCTGCGATGAGTATATTTGGCATTCCTTCAACTATCTTCTTATCTGACATGAGTTTTAGCGAGTGAAAGTTTACATGGCCCAACCTAGAGTGCCAAAGCCACGAGGGTTCACTGACTTCAACAACTAAACATGTTGACTTCACTTCTTCTAACTGGATCTTGTAGAGCCGATTTGGAGACCTCTAGACCTTCATTAACAGCCTTCCTGCAGCATCATGCACCCATAAAATGGATCTTTTATTCTAATCTCATCTCCACCTTCTGCTAGTTGTCCCAGGCTTATTATGTTGCTACATAAGTTTGGGATATAATAAACTTCTTCTAGTCTACGATGCTCTCCATTCTTACACTGAAAGATAATTCTACCCTTTCCTTTAATTCTGACTCTAGACTCATTCCCAAACTTTACATAGCCTTGAATCCTTTTATCTAACTCTTTGAACTTGCACTTGTCCCCAGTCATGTGGTTGCTGGCCCCTGTATCTAGATACCACATATCATGTGCAGTTTCATTGTCAACATGATTTTGAATTAAGTTGTTCAATTGATTTCTCTCACGTCTTGGATTCTTACATTCAGCGGCATAGTGACCAAATTCTTGACAGTTGTAGCACTGCACACCACTTTTGTCTTGGTTACTTGACTGGTCACGTTTGTATTCCTTTTAATGGTGTGGGTTGCTTCTTCCACGAACACCATTGTCTCCACATCTGCTGCGGCCTCTACCCCTTCCTCGTGACCCTCCAAACCCACCACGATTTACTTTGTGAGTGGACTTGGAATCGTCTTCTTTCTTCTTATTTCTTTCTGATCATTCCTGGTGGGTCAAAAGGAGTTTTCTTTCTTTATTATCACTGTGTCCCTTCATCCTTTCCTCATGAGCTTTTAGCCTTCCTATGACTTCTTCAACTGTCATCTCATCCAAATTACCAAATTTCTCTAGAGTGGAAGCAATCTGAAGGAACTTCAATGGTACAACTCTTAGTAGTTTCTTCACTACATAATATTCTTCTATTGCATCCCCCAAGGCTCGCATGGTACTCACAAGGTTGCTTATCTTCATTGCAAACTCATCTACAGCCTCTGATTCCTTCATGTTCAAGGCTTCAAACGCAACTTTCAAAGTCTGAATTCTTGATGTCTTCACTCTATCTGCTCCCAAGAACATGGTCTTCAAGGCCTCCTATGCCTCTTTGGCTTTTTTCTTCTCAGCCAATGAAAGCAGTATATCCTCTAGTATACCTTGGTAGATGGCTGCTAAGGCCATCTTATCCTTCTTGACTTCTACTACAGTGTTGGATGTCCTAGGTTCCACTGCATGCTACACTTCCTGGGCTTGCATGAAGACCCTCATTTTGATGGCCCATGCAGAGTAGTTGCTCCTTGACAACATCAGGTAACGAAGAGTGACACTTCCATCCTTTTCAACATTTCCATTATTTCTTATCATCTCTTTACGTGGTTGGTACTTTGGCATACACCAGGTTGCGCTTTGATACCAAGTGTTGGCCTTGACATGGCTATTAGTGACTTGTCACAGAAAATAAGACAAAAAGGGACAAGATATTGAGTATCACAGTGGGTAAAAGATAAAGAAAATGGGACAGGAAAGCAATGCACAGGAGCAGAAAAGCTACACTTTACTTATTCATAAACTTGGAAAAGAAAAGAGGGATGCCATCTCCTAGTACACTACCTGACTATTTAAATCACAACTTAGAAAAAAAATAGCAATTGATTCTAGCTTAAACCCAGGGGCACTAAGCGACATGGCCTTGACTTATTCACTTCTACTAACAGCTAAGGAAACAAATAAAAAACGTGCATAGACCAAATCAACTCTGAACTATTTTAACATTAACAACTCTGAAAGTTTTACTAATTCTACTTCGTCTCCTCTGTCTATTTTGGATAGTTCTGCCATTGATAATTTTACATGTAGACCTCCTAGAAGCCTCCGTAATTTCGCTTCGACTTCCGCACTTCTTCCTCTCTAAAGTAGGGCAATGGGCGAAAAAAATATGATGTACAATTGCTTAGAAATAAATTATGTGTAAATACAATCAATAGCTAAACAACAAATAAATATCAAGATCAAGGCACATTACATATTTTATCGATTGCTTCTGTAAAACTTATAAAAAAGATAACCCTTAATTCCGCTTTACATATCCCAAACTTATTTACCAATTTACCATGGGTAAAACTCATTACATCAGATTTTCTTTGTAAAGTGACATTTATTCTAACCAACTGTGAGAAGAACATAGGGAAGGTTGCTGAGAGTATATGATGAGGAGCATATTGAATACTTAGCAGGGTAATGATTCGGGTCTTATCGGGAATGGG